CGCTTCCCCTCCTTTTGTCCTTTTCAGTAGAGGGGGTTTGACAGGGCTCGGCTTGACTCGTCTGTGCTCCTCGCTATGCCTTAACAAAAGAAGGTTCTCCCCTCTAGACATTCTCTTCTTTAAGGTCAGGTGATGAATTTCGTTTCTTTCCATATTTAGTTTGGTATTGAAGTGTGTCAATTGATCATTTTAAGCTCTAAAAATGAAATCGAGGTAGCAGAAAAACTGTTAGTAGCAAAATATGCTAAATTTGACGATAATCGAGCAGCAAGTCGAGTCATACATCCGACTGTCCGACTGTGACAAGAAAACAAAGAGGGGCTGCAGGTGTTGACTAACAAAAATAACGAATCGTGGGTTACCACGAAGTTTTCTAGAACTAGAAAAACATTAATGAAGTGGGTAGTAGATAGAAGGTAACAGATCATCCGAGTTTCCTGCAGTAAAATCAGATTTAAAGCTTTAGAACTTAAAAAGCTCATATGGGCATAACAGAATTTTAAGCGTCAAATAGATGAGCAGTTCGTTCTATGAAGCGACAAGCTCTTTTAGTAGAAGAACTACCATCGCGCAGCCTCTTCCAGACGATCACGAAAAAAAAACTTTCCGGAGTTCCAAAAGTTCATAATTAAATTGAGAAAGAAACATCTCTGAGTTTGCACAGGTTGAAAACGCTTATCAAATGCTTCTGACTCTTAATATCGTCTACGAGAGGAATGTAGACACGAAAATCATAAAAACTGTCTGTACGTACAATAGGACACAAGAAGTCTTACTTCACCGTTATGCTAGTGTGTACTCTAGAAGGAGGAAACTTGATGCCTTTCATAATTTTTACGAGAAAGAGTCTAATAAAAAGAGTACAATTTCTAAAATGTGTATACATCCGTGTTGATGCTAAACAATGGATGGATGAAGCATTAACCACTGACTAGCTAAATGTTTCGGCGACACGTAAAGTGGTTTACGAAAACAACCTTACATGCGGGTGCTCGACTCGTTTCGGTATCATCCGATGCCATCTATCCAGAAAGAACCAAAGAAAATGAAATCTAGTGCTGTTATTACCCCAGACGGCATGACCCGTCTATTGCAGCCTCCAGACGTTGTTGTTAGTAAGCCGATGAAGGGTGCTACTCGTCGAAATCGAATGGGTCGTTAAGCAACAATAATCGCACAAATACTAATGGCGTCCGTATGCGTCAACCGACTCTCACGGATGCTGTCGAATCGGTACTTGCGGCTTGGAATAAATTAGATGCGTCTATAATTTAGCAAGGCTTCCTTAAGTATTGCATTTACAATAATCTTGACGGCAGCGGGGATAACGTTTCATAGGAGGACGAACTGGTCTCATCAAATGAAGATGATGGGGATATATACTGGGATAGCACCAATAACAATGGCGCTGACTTGACTGCACTGGGCGAGTTTCTTACTAATGACAGTAATGACAAATGCTTTTACGAATTTCCTAATAAAATTTAGGCATTACGTATTTTTGTTTGATTTTTATTAATCATTAAGTTTTGCTAACAAATGTTTTATGTAGTTTAAATTAAATTTTTAAAAGTTATGGATACGTACTATATGTGAATTTCTACTTTATCAGAAACTTGTGGGGTAACCAAACATGCGGATGATAATCAATATTTCAAGTTATATCAAATGCGGAAGATCTCACTGCATAAAACAGTACAATACGATAAGTATATACCTGCATGACCAGGCGTTCGACACTTACGGACGATTGGACAAAAATATGGCGTGAGATGTGTATTAAACGTTTACGGGTGACTTCTGCAGCATTGGTGTTTTTCTTGGTCAGGTGAAAAAAGCAACTCCGGCGGAGACGGTAACGCAAAGTTAAACTAGATCACTTACTGTTGACAGCGACTCCGGTTTCGGCCTTCATCAGGTCCTTGCCGCTGCTGAGGCGGGTCGTCAGCTGCTGAGGCCGAAGGCTGGCGATGTGCGACTGCGTCTGTGACTGCGAATGCGGTTGAACATGAGAACGGGCGCCGGCACCGGGTTCTGAAGTCGCGCAATACGCGGTGTAAGACGAGGCAGTGGCCGAGGCGAGGGTGGCGGCCTCCTTCCTGGCCTGCCTAATCCTTGGCACAGGGATCAACGTCGCCGGGTGCGTTCTGGAGAAGGCGCAGCTGCGAGTCGCCACTGATGCTCCGCCGACTCCTCCGCAGTCCATGTTCAAACGACGACGGTGGACAACGAATCGTTGACTGTTCCAAAGACGAGGAAGAAATCGGCGCTGTGCAACGCGCAAAGCAGAAGAGGCCGGTGCTCAAGATCTCGACGTCCACGCTGCTCAACGAACGACCACCGCAGTGGCGAACAC